AGATTCTCTGAATATTTATGAATATTATTGTTTTCCAACAAATACGAAATCACTGATAGCGACTGAGCCTACGCACAGGCTTCCAGCCCATGTAGGCTTATTTCCTATTGTATATGTTTAACATGGCTTCTCTGAGACCTTACATCCTTTGTTGTTATTATTAAGTTTACATGTATTTTTATATTTAATTATTTTTATCTATGCAATAGCAAGTAAGGTGTCTGTTCACTGGAAGTTATGTTTATAATTTATATTCTGCAATATTTTTGGAAATAAAGTATGTTTTGATTTGATTTGATTTCTATCCTCTCTTTGGGTTCTCTCCATCCACAAGTGGTCATGGTTACTAATCACCCAACGACCCAACCACAAAATGTTGTAGTGTTGTGACAGCAGACAGGAGCAGGCGATTGTCAGTATGTCTGTCAGTGTCAGTGCAAGATTGTCAGTCTGTAGGTGCGAGCGTATAGCTTGACCTTGAAGCTACTGATCGATATTTCTCCGTTTTGCTTCCATCTTATTTTTGTCAAATGTACTTTAATGTTTCAGTAATTGGGAGCATACTGCACATAAAAATTACCGAAAATAGTTAAATATATAGTTCATATCGAAATATTACACTGAAAAACACAATTCATAAAGCTTTTTCTTGGGATTTGTGGGGTTACATAGGCATCATGTTGGTCCGACCCCAGTTAAGCGAGGTTCTACTGTATTTGCAAGTTTAAGTTACAAATAGAAAACCCCATCACATTATGGTTGGTTCAATGACCGATGTATTATCAAAAATTAATTCATAACTTGTTAGCGAATTTCCCTATAGGGAAGTAGCTATTTTGATATTAATCAGAAGCATTCATTACAGCTTGCAGCACTTATTGGTATGTATAAATATACAAGTTACTATTACTTTAAAAAAATAAAACACGAAATTGTGTGGCCATTCAATTTTAATAAACACAGTGTTAAACGTTTTACCCTGCAGAATACCGGATGGTGATGGTAAAGAGTGTTTGGTTTCAAGAAAAAAAAATTGTTTAACCAGCTTTACTATTTATTTTGAAAAACAATAGAAAGGAAACCATAAGGATAGGTATGGGATGGATCAGAAATAATTGCAGGGAACCTTAAATAGTTAAGTCCACAAACTGTACATTGTTAGAGAGAGAGAGTGTGTGTGCGAGAGAGGGGGACTGGACTGTGAGGGAGAGAGGGGGAGAGAGGGTGAGAGAGAGATTTGATAAGGAATCTGAAAAGTAAACAAATAATCGTTTCTGGCGTTTGTCATATTGTACCCCCCCCCCCCCCCCGCATTTGCACTCCTGACCACTTTTTGTTGCTTCCTTATCTTTCATCCGTCCCAAAATAGAATTCCTGTAAAAGTTTGTAAAATTAAAATTATCATACAAATCTTTTTATGTATCGAGTGTAGTTTCGTGGTTATTCTTATCAGATGTTAGTTCCTCCTTCGGACAACAGTTCCCGTATCTTGGACAAGATTCACGTATATTTCCCGAGATAAAAAAAATCCGTATAATTCCCAATCTTCCCGGTCCGTGGACACACTGTAAATATTGTACGTCATACAGGAGAAATTGACTAAAATTTCTACTGAAGGTGAAAAAAATAATCAAAACTTACAATATGAGATGATGAACGGGTAGGATCAAGATTCAACCGTTTATAATAAATTAATATTCGACGTTCCTTATTAGAGGTGCATCATAGTTATTTGGAATATGAACATGCTTAAACATTAACACGTAGTTAATCACTATCCCAACATAAATAGTAACAAGGAGTCAACGAAGGTTACAGACCGCTGGGTGTTACCGCTACAAAGTAGGCGAGGAGGGTGCCGTACTTGGCTACGCTACTCCACGATAGAACTCACGGTGACAGTCTCCTCTCCGCATTGGTATTGCAGTTATGCTTATCGACACAGGCAGTAGCACCGGTTAGCTGTTTTCATACGTATAAAATGCACGGGAAGCCATACCTGACTGGCTTTTGGGAGAGCTGACTGGCTTTCGGGCGGGTGACTGCCACACCGAGTAAATTACCAGCGCAGTGACTGCCACTCCGGGTGGGTACAAAAGTATATATATATTGTTATTATATACACCAATGAGGGCTACTTTAAATGTTACTATCTTAGTAACCTGCTTTTGATTCTGATTACTCTGCCCTTGTTTTTCTGTTTTAACCCTTGTACCCGTGGGTTTTGAAACATATAAAGCAGTTTTAAGTAACTCTACGTTATCACGCTGCTCTATAGTACGAAGCTTTTCAACTAGTGTTTTAATTGTTCTATCCTTAGATGGCATAGCTTCCCATACATTTCTGAATTCACGAAAGCTTGGCCCCAAAGTAGATAAAATTCTTGCAATTAAAACTCTATCACTAAGCTTTGATTCCTTTTGTTTCTCAAGTGCATCATTTAATTCGGCAAAATGTTTTTGAAGCTTTGCCACATGGGTAGCTATGTCCTCATTAGGATCCTGATCCCACCTAAAGAACTAAGAACTCATCTAGCAAACGATCTAGCCTTTGTTCACTAGACTGTTCATACACAGATATTAAACAACCCCAAACTTCTTTAGAAGTCGAGCAAGTCAAAACTAGTGTAGATGGTTCATCGCCTAGAGATGACATCAGGTATAACTTAGCAGAAGCATTTTTTCTGTCCCAATCTGCAATAGCATATTTTGCTCAGATCCAGAGATGTTAGTAATGGGTCTACAAAAGTCATTATATGGTGTGAAACAATCTTCTCGTTGTTGGAGCTTGAAACATTGCAAAGTTTCTTAGATCTCAAGGTCTTAAGAGAAGTAAATCGGATCCCTGTCTCTTTTATAAAAATCATCAAGGTAAGAAGCTACTTGTACTTATTTATGTAGATGATGGATTAGTTGCTGGAACCGACAATGGCATCATTGATGACTTCATGAGAAGTTTATCCAAAGTTTTTAAAATAAAATCTGGTGAACTTGATAGTTATTGAGGATTGCAGATCAAGAAAGGTTCAAGTGGAATATGGATTGGTCAATCAGCCTATACTAAACGCATATTACAACGTTTTGGTATGAGTGACTCGAATTCTACACCATGTGAAAGACCTATAAACAATGGTCCATTGAAGACTGTCAATGGAAAAGTTCCATACCGTGAGGCTGTTGGAAACTTGATGCATTTAAGCTGTGTATCAAGACCTGATATTTCCTTTGCTGTGGGATTGGCTGCGAGGAATATGGAACATCCTACTCAAGCGGATTGGTTGAGTGTCAAAAGGATATTTAGATATCTTCGAGGAACCATAAATGACGGTATCTTGTACAAGTCTTCACCATGCAGTAATCTGGATGTTTTCACTGATTCTGATTTTGCTGGAGAGGAAAGTACTCGAAAATCAACGTCTGGGTTTATCAGTTGTTATGCTGGAGGTCCAGTGAGATGGCGAAGCGAGAAACAGCGTTCTGTATCACTGTCTACGACAGAAGCAGAGTTTGTGGCTGCATGTGAAGGAGCTAAAGAAGCTATATCGCTGAAACGTCTGTTTGAAGAAATAAGTTGTCACTCACAATTGACACCTGTTCTGAAAATTGACAATGACAGTGCTGTGAAACTCATAAAGAACCCTGAGTTTCATCGCAGAACGAAACATATCAAAGTTAAGTACTACTTTGTAAGAGAAAAAATCTTGGAAGGACTTGTTGATGTTGAACATGTATCTACAACATATCAACTTGCCGACATCCTTACTAAACCTCTGAACCTCTCAATCGAGTAAGGTTTACACAGCTTAAAGTAAAAATTGGACTTTGTGACATGTTTTAAAATTGTGAAAGGAGTATTGGAACATTGACAATTTTGCCTCTGAACTGTTTAAATGTACATTGTCTTAAAATCATATGTTTTACTTTTTATATTAAGCTGTGTTTGTGTTCATGTTTGTATGATCAAAATAAAAGAGTGGATTCCTTTCGTTAATATATTTGTTTCTCATTAATTTAAAAGTTTATTCTCATAAGTCACCTAGAGAAAGAATGCCTTGGACAAGTACGTATCAATACTGACCTCCGGAAGTACGACTCCTTGCTTAAGGCGAGTCCACACGCAAGGATTTATCGTACGTTTTACCTGCGCAAGTAAATTGTTGCAGTCAAATCGTTGTGTGTGTACCGCAAAACTGTGCATTTTTGAGAACTGCGCGGAGACTGAAGACGGAGCGATAAAATTATTGCGGAGAGCATAGTTTTGACGTTTTCAGAAAAGTCATTGCGTGTGTACACTGTCATCCGTTTCAACTCCGTTTTACGCCCAAAACCCCAGTATACAGTGTTGTCTTCACGTGCTGTCAGAGGTATAAGTGTGTTTTTTAATGACGATCGCCAATGCCCCGTGATTTTATTTCTGAATTCATAGAACTGTACAGAAGTTTTCCTTATTTATGGAGGGTCAAGAGTAAGGAACATAAAGACTGTGATATGAAAAAGACTTAGAGACTTTTGAAAAGTACAAAGCAGTAGATTCGATCGTGAACATCGTCTTTTTAGTAACCAAAGTCTTGACCATAGTGAGCGCCGTCGTCGCTCAGACTTGTTTCTTTGCTTTCTTGTAACACTGGCTGCAGAAATCGACCACAGTAACACATCTTCCATGTTATTACATGCACATACACTGAAAGTTATCACAAAATTACACTAAAAGTTGGTGCTGAAACGTGTACCGTGTGGACGCATTTCTTTGTAACGACTTGACTGCAACGTTTTATCTGCGCAGATAAAACGTTTGCGAAATCCTTGCGTGTAGACCCCCCTTTAATCAAACTGTCCCTATTGGTGTTTATTTAAGATTTCTTTTGTCACTCCATTCAAGTTCCATACGTTATTGGTGTACCTATTGTAACTTGTAACCAATCGACAAATTAAGTGACAACTGAACAATCAATGTTGTATTTTAAGACTTGTCTTTACTTAACTAATCAAACACATTTTCAGTATTTTGTAGATGTTTGCAGTAAACTTGGGATGAGTGAAGAATACCTTATAGCGAAATATGAAAAGAGAAACCAACCTGTGAGATTCATGCTGTTGATGCCTGGTAAGACTAAATACACCTATTGCTCAAGTATGTTATTGTTATTAAACATTTCTGTTTTAATTAATTAATTAACGTATAACAGTATTTGGTGAAAATATTTTGTTGTGGACATTTGCTATAGGGTACCAAACATTTGAGGGAATTTCTGTATTATGGGTGTGAGTATAAGAAAGTTTTATTTTAATTTATAATTTTGTTCTCACAGAAAAAGTTATTCAATAAGTTAAATGCCTGATTACTGATTTGCTCGTACCTTATGTTTGCTTTTTTTTCATTGAAATTCATTGAAACAAATTTTATAAAATCCTAATTAAAATTTCATTCATCCCTAAATACAGGTTGATATATATTTAATGATAACTTATTCTATAACAAGTCTACAGGTTTGATTTATTTATGAAAAATCTGATCTTACTTTTTATAAAAATCATTCTTTTCTGGCAGGAGAAGGATTTTTGTTGGTAAAAGAGTTGGTATCTGCTGAAATGGCTTTTCCAATACCTAATATCCCGCCAAATTTGAGTCCTTTCTCCACTTTCAAGGTAAGTGGCTTTTGACGTAATTCATGTACAACTATGTATAGGCCTACTTATAAATAAAGATTCTTAACTATGACTATAAAACCTCAAGTAAAAAAAATACATATAGAACTACATTTTTACATTTACAATTGATGTGAGCAGTTTCACAGAGAAGTAAGGTACAGTGGAAACACCCTTATGGGACAACCATGCGCTTTCAGTCCTACGTATGTTGTGCCGGAAATATTTGTGATGAGCAAGGAAGAGCCCTAGCAGGGGCAGTGTTGGACTTTGCCCTAGACACCACTTAAGTGTACCATTGAGTGTTTACTCTGCAACTTTATGCTCTGTGGTAGTTTCATGTTTCACTTGACTTGACAGGTAAGGTAAAAATAAATATAAGGCTAGACGGTGTCAGACATCTAGCTGAGTTGGATTCAAGTTTTGACTAATAATTAAATAGCTGATTCTGAACAAGCATATTTATATTCCTCATATAGGTATCACATTTCAATCAGTAAAAATATAAATGACGGCATAATTTAATAATTACATTGATTCATTCATATGAAATGAAATGAAAGGAAAAATGTCTTTATTTGAGAGGCAAAGTTAGGACTTGCAAGTCCTCTCTACCACTTAACCTGTAAAACATAAATAAAACTATCCACTTATATAAAAACTTGAACTTACCCGTTTTCATCTACAAGTACCTGGGGACCGGAGCTTTGCTTGGGGAAAATCATTCCCCCACTCTGCGATGCCAGCCTTCACTACTTCCTTCACCGTTTCCTACGTCATGGACCTATTACCTTCCCTTCTCTTAGCATTTAAGTATTACAGGTACATTAATCTAACAGCCACAAACGGTTCCCACACTCTGCGATGCTAAACTTAACTACTTCCTACGTCGTGTACCTGTTTTCATCTCTTTCCATAGCATTTTAGTATTTTAAATACATCTAGTTGCCACAAACATTTCCCACACTCTGCACTGCTAGCATTTACCAGGCCTACTTCTTTCACCATTTCCTTTGTCTTGGGCATGTTTCCATCCCTTCTCATAGCATTTCAGTATTTCAATTCCAGATACATAAATCTAACTGTTACAATTAATTGGTTTCCAGTTCCCAGACTCCCCACTGCTCGCCTTTACTTCCTTCACCTCTTCCATTCTTCTTCTTCTTCCCATACATTTTAGGATTGTGGATACCTTAATCTAATCGTCATAAACAGTTCCCACACTCCGGACTACTCACCTTTACTACTTCCTTCACCATTTCCTACGTCGCAGACCTGTTTCCCTCCCTTCCCATAGCATTTTAGGATTGTAGATACCTTAATCTAATCGTCATAAACAGTTCCCACACTCCGGACCGCTCACCTTTACTACTTCCTTCACCACTTCCTACGTCGTGGAACTGTTTACCTCCCTTCCCATAGCATTTTAGGATTGCAGATACCTTAATCTAATCGTAATAAACAGTTTCCACACTCCGGACTACTCGCCTTTACTACTTCCTTCACCACTTCCTATGTCGCGGACCTCTGTTTCCTTACCTTCCCATAGCATTATAGAATTGCAGATACTTTAATCTAATCGTCATAAACAGTTCCGCACTCAGGATAGCTTGCATTGACTACTTCCTTCACCATTTCCTACGTCGCGAACCTGTTTCCTTACCTTCCCATAGCATTTTAGGATTGCAGATACCTTACCATCCTTATGGAACAGCTGAAGCCACTTTTATTGTTAGTTCTGTCTGGTTTTCTGTAGATGTCGTGTTTTATTTACAATTTGTTTCTATTATTTTAGGGTTAGTTTCTCATTATTTCCTGACAATATTCCTGACATTATTTCTCAGACATCCTGACAAATACCAAATGCCTGCTAAACTAGTTCTAGACAAATTTTACAATCACAATAGTGTAAAAGTTCAGAGTAGTATTAGGTCAGATTCATTAAAAAACAGTGATACTTACAGTAAATTTAATTTAGTAATGCACTACAATTTGTCAAGGGTTAAATTCTACTAAAATATCAGAGCTCAATTTATTTTTTTCACAGTCCAAATCTATTATATTATTAAAGTGATACAATCAAATTTTATGTAAACGGTTAAGGCCATTTACCAAATAAAAATATAGGCATATTTCACATCAAAATGAAGCTTAGAGTGTGTAGATTTGCCGAAAAGTATTGATATGGACGAATTTCCTAAGGGCGCTGCCCCACAGGCTGATTTTCAAAGGGCTACACCTGGCATGCTTCCAAAGTTTACATGATTTAATTTAATTTAGTTAATGAAACAGCTGGTCAGTACAATGAACTGGTGTTTATTTATTTACTCGAAAAAGATGTTTGTGATGCTTAATGTAGATTTAGTAGGGTTATGTTTGGTTTTAAAGAAAGGTTGTATACGTTTTGTAAAATATTGCTCAAAAGTTTCATTTTGTAATTTATATTGTAAGCTACATGTAAAGAGGCTTGACTAAAGTTGAAGAATTATGGTAAAACATGTCATTCGTGAAGCATAAATATGAAGCAATTGAAGCTGTTGCTACACTAAGGTATGTTGTCATATTCTTTTGGATCTATTAACATAAAAAGTAGGTGTTTGAAAGTAAGTAGGTTTACACTTTTTAATATAATACATTTTCAAACTAAATCATGGAGTTGCCGTATTTTAAAACACACATCAGAATGACTAATAGCGCTCTAGGTCACATTTTCTTCCCGTTGCAAAGCACGGGTATAGCAGCTTGTTAAATATTAAAGTCATGTCATTAAATGAACTTTGGTTGGATAATGATTCTATTTATTTACTCAATACAATAGATAATTTTAGAAGGGCTGACTCTTATGTCAGAAATAGTGGCCTAAGGGGTGGTTCATGTATATTAGTTGATAATAATTGTAAATACTTAACTGTAAAGGAGTTTTCTTATTTAAATTAAGATTTTATTTTTGAATGTTCTGCTATCGAACTTGTAGATTTCAATTCAGTATTTTTTCCATTTATACAGTGCCAAATTATAATTCAAGTAAATTGTTTTTGGACAAACTTGAAAAGCTACTTGTTAGTTTACAAAAAAAAGCCAAAAGGAAAAATGCTTTTATAACAGGGGATTTTAATATTACCTTTTAAAGGATGATGCAATCACAAGTAGGTTTAAGGAAATTGTCGAATGTAATGGTTTCTGTTTGCAGTTTAATGAGCCAACTAGAATAACTGCCAATTCATTTACTTGTATAGATAACATGATTTTAAAAAAATGTATAAAGTAGACCACAAATTGAATAATGATTTAGGGTTATCTGACCATATTCCTGAGCCTCCCTGGGCAATATAAGAATATATTGACTACTGGTAATAATAATAATTATACAGGTTCCTATAGGCTACCAAAAGAATAATTTCAAATAGAAAAATAGATGAATTTTGTACATATTTAAACCAAAATATTAATTTTACATTTGATCCAGTCCTGAACCCAAATGAAAACTTTAGTAACTTTTTAAGTGATTTTCTTTTGACTTTTAATTCTATATTTCCTCCAAAGTTTCTTAAAAATAATAATAATAATTCTAAAACCAAGTCTTTCTCTGTAAACTGGATTACTCAAGGTATAAAAATTTCAAGTAAAACAAAACGACAATTGCACATGCAAGCCAAGCTCAGTAATGACCAACAGTTTATTACATATGTTAAGCATTATAAAAACATATTTAATATAAAGTTGTAAAAAAAGCAAAATTACTAGCGAATAGCAATTTTATATAAACATCAGAAAAGAAAACTAAGGCAGCTTGGCAAATTGTTAATCAAGAGCTTGGCAATACAAACCAAAAACCAAAAGAAAGAATAGTTTTGAAAGATACAAATGGTCATGAGCCTGGTAATCCTGGAAGTATTGCTAAAGTGTTTAACAATTTTTTTTTCGAATACAGTAAGTAACTTAAATGTACAAAAGGCTACTGTCAATGGAGTCCATGCTTTAGTGAAACATATCTGTAATGATAATGGGATATCCTTGTGCAGCCTCAGGCTAACTAATGTGGAGGAAATCAAAAAGATTGTTCTGTCAGTAAAAAACAAATCATCCGTTGGCTGGGATGAGATCCCAATTAAATTGATAAAAGCCACTGTTAATATCATTGCCGAACCTTTATCTCAAATTATTAACCAGTGTTTAATACATGGAATTTTTCCCATTTTTTACATGGAAACTAAAACTTTCCCAAATCTCACCAATATTTAAATACCCCCGCCGCAGCAAACCTGCAGACTAAGCGAATTTCCATTTGACTGATTGGATTTACACTGAAATGTCTACTTAAAAATATAACATTTATTCCCGATTTAAATAGAATTCGTTTAACAAGTACTTAGGTTTGCTGCATCAGGGAGGGTAAAACTGTTTTTTTTTTGTAAAATGTTAATAGTTAGTAAGAAATAAAAACATTTTCCAAATTTGATCAAAATATGTTCATAAACAAGCAAACTACAACAGTTTACTCATTCTCCATAAGAATAACATGGGAATTTTAAATTTACAATTTTTTGGAATTTTCTCCGTAACCATTAGGCGCATAATAACGCTTCAATATACTAAATTATTTGTTTTTTGAAGCTCTACAAAATGGTTTGGAAAAAAATTGCAAAATTTTATGTTTATTGGGTCAAAAATGGGAAAAACCTATTTTTACCCCATAAAACCCCCCGTAAACACCCGTTCCCATGGTCCGATCATGCTGGATCGCGAACTCGTTCGAATAAACGTAGGTTTACACGTTTGTACCAAATTTCATCAAAATCGGATCATTTTTGCTCGAGTTATCGTGCTGACGGACACATATATATATATATATAAATATATAAATATATACAGGGTGAGTTTTAATTGTCCCCCCCCCCAACTTTTTTCTACATTTTTTCAAATATCAATCCCAGACCACTTCCAAACATTGTTGGGTAGTAAGTACTTCATTTTGACAAGGTGGCCATTTCCGGCCGCCA